CCAGACCTGTTTGAATCTCAAGGCCTCTAAGTAGAGGAAAATGGACAATTTGACAAAGAATAGACGGGAGTTAAGGGAGTTAACAGGATATTTAGAACTGTAGAGTTAGGGCATCAAAACTGAGTTTGAGGACTTGGAGAAAAGTAAAATTCTGTAATAGCCACTATGGTGCATTTAATGGGATTTTAGAAAGAGATTGCTAAGTAGCTCCAAAAGCTTAACTGAGACATGAATTTGTAATGCGTGCAGTTATGTGACTTGTTTCAGTTTCTTCAATTCTCACAGAACATCAATATTGAACAAAGGCCAGTCTTCTAAAATTCATTGTAGGCTGGCCTATTAAAAATACATGCTGAAGACAGCAGTTTGGCTGTTTGCCTATGAATTCTCTAAAACTATGTTTTTAAAAAATATTGAATATATAGAGGATATGAGCAATTATTTTATTTAAAACATTGGGTCTGTTTAATAATATTATTACGCAAGTGAGACCAAATAAGTCCTTAATTTTGAAGCTTGCCTTCTGCCCCATCAGTGAGTAAATACATGCTGAGCACCTCTGGTGTGCTTGAAGGGGGAGGGAAGAGAACCATTACACCTGATCAGCCTCTAGACTTATAACAAACAAAATGTACATAGGCAAAGAAGGATATGCCACCACTCACACTCAATAAGTACACTAATATATACTAAATGAAATGAACAGTCTACTAGAGAACAAAACTATATAAAAAACCAAATGAGCAATCTTAAGGATGACAGAAATAAAGGGCCAATAAGAGTGAATGTTCACTGGCCTAAACCCATAAAACCTGTCTTCTGAGTGATTGGTTCTCTACACCAGTCAGTCAATCACTGCTTTACATTAGGGATACTCTAAATGCTTCAACATCTATCCCTCTGCACCTTCATTCCAAACCCTTTACCATTTACTTGAAAAAGATCATGGTTATTGTCTGCCAGTCAGACACACTAGAGGGTAACATAATCTCTCTCTCTCAACCTCTCTCTCCCTCTCTCTCTCTCTCTCTCTCTCTCTCTCTCTCTCTCTCTCTCTCTCACACACACACACACACACACACACACCAGCCCACTGTCCACAGGGGCAAACAGAGTGTCTAGTTAAGTCAAATGTCACAGGATTCCCATCACCAACCTGAGCAATAGAAAGATTTCCAGTCAGAAGCCAGCTAGAGAAAGTACATGGGAGAATGATTTTTTATTTCTTGAATTCAACTGTAGATTATTTATGACTAAGATCTTATTAACATACACACCAAACTACATGAGTGACCACTATGGTAGAAGAAAGAAGACACCATCTGGATATTGTTCCTAATTTAAATAAACATTGGGTGTTTCTGCAATTCTATAGGGACCCAACAGAGAAGCATATATTTACCTTCCTTTTTATACATTAATGTAATCATTTTAAATCTTCTGAACTGATGGAGATGTATGAAATGACATGCTTAAGATAATACAAGAATATATCACCTATTATTTTGCTTAAAACATATTCTAATTTTTGCTGTATGCTTTATCTTAAATCACAAAGTATCTCTTAATCTGTGGCCAATTTTCAGTTTATTTTCAATATTTCAGGTATCTTTGATTGAAAATATTTGCTTTTATAGGAATGAATTAATTTTTAATATTTCTATTTGTTATTTACAATACTCTGCGATTTCCTCAAGAATTCTGTTAAGCAAATTGTGGTTCACATCCAATTGTGGATTTAAACACCAAAGCTTTTGCTCTTTGTCTAGCCACCTTTCACATTAATGCTCCCAGGAGACATTGTCAGAAACTGAAAATTGAGTAGTTTATTTGAAAGACCTTATGGATTATAGAAATATATGGTATTATTATCATTAGCAATACTGAAAACATGAAAGAAGTGTAGGTGTTAATTAGAAAACTTTATCAAAACATGAAAATTAACTCATTAATAATGAAGAGGCTGTGTTCATAGATTGTGTACAAATTATTAGCCTCTCAAAGGAAAAAGGTCATAAGGAAATATGATTTGAGGCTCCTTCTTTTGCTCCTCTCCCTCCTCCACATAGCTAACACTAAGATATAGAGGGCACTTGTTGGTTTATGATTGCATGCTAATGGTTCTCTTTTTTTTCTCTGTTTTTAAAATTCATGAGGCTTTTTCCTTCTACCCACTTCATTCAATAATGACCAAATTCACTGTATTATAACTCCCTGTGAGAACCTAAAATGAACAGTGTTTCACTGATGGGGGATTAGGAAGAACTGAGCAAATCAGTAAGTCAGCTGGGGGCAAAATATGTTTGAATTTAAAAATGTACATTTCTTCAGTACAGAAGTAAGGTTCATTGGTGGATTGTAAACCTCAAACATGAAAGAGCATCTAATCCTTTCAATAATTCTGAAACAATAGTTCATGGAAAATTTGAATGTATATGTGACAATCTTAGATTTATCAGAATGTGATTATAACATTAAAGGTATGTAAATACTATTAAAAAAACAGTAACATATCTTAACAGCCTAATGAGATTGCATATTTTTTTCTCTACCAGCTTTAGGTATGTTCTTAAAAAGACAAAGCTACCATAATTTATAATATAAAATTTTAACATGTGATTATATCACATAATTTCACTACTAAGGTACGACTTTTGGATTTATATGAAATAAAATTGATAATTAGAAAGTAGTTAGAAGAATAAATCAATAGGAAACACATTTTTCCTTGTGTGTTACAACCTACTACATATGTTCTCACTCCCTTAACCACACATTAGCCAAAGGCCTTTGGTAGCTTGCAAATTACTGTACCCTAAAGTATCCATAGCCATGAAAGGACCTTATAAATCTGCTGTCCCTTGCAGTAACTATAGTTACTTCCTTGCTGACAGGAGAACACTCACAAGATAACTGATCTATCTTACCTATAATTATAATGTCTACTACAAACATTTTGGCAAAATGTAAAGAGCTTACAAAGAGATGGAAAAAATAAAATCATTTAACAAATTTCATAGAATAATTATCAAGCATAACTCTGCAAAACTGAACACAACCATTAAAAGAGTGAACAGTCACTTAAAGACAATGATAGTAACCAAATTATGTTAGTGTTAGTATTGCAGGAGCAGAGGTACAAATACCTAAAGGATGTGAGAGAGAGAAAGAATTTTTCACATCCATCCAACCCTTCACTCGTATTTACTGCCATATCTATTGTCATTATTATATAGTATTTTATTATTTATGAAGCATGTGTAGTTTGTGTGGGGCTGTGTCTGTTAAAAGCTGAGTACTCCCTGGAGAAACAAGTGGGAGCATTGTTCTTTGAAAATCAGGGTTTATCTTAGAAAGTAACCCTGGGTACTAAAGACTTAGGGGAATTTAACTGAAGTCCACCAGTGGTTAAAAATTTGAGAATAAGGTTGGAGAGAATTGGGATGTACTGAATTAACAGTACACAAGGCTGAATTGAGTCATGGGTTTACCTGAGACAGATGCCACGTTTCTATGTTGCACTGGCCAATGACAACATACAGTGGCTAATTACTAAAATGAATGCACTCATCAGATATATAAGAAACACCATCTAAATTCTTTCCAGGAATAAAAATAATGTTTATTCCATACTTGAAGGACATAGAATAAAATCAATCCAGTAGTTTAATAATTTTGTTATAAAACTTCATGCCCGGTATTTATTTTAAATACAGGACAAATATATTCTATTACAATCCCATATAGTGAATGATATACATGCTTTTCTGATAACTATTTTTTTTGCTAATTTTTAAAAGGGAGGGGGGGAGTTACATTAGTTGTCATTTTGTTCTCCAGAAATCACAAATACCAGTGATTTCTAGAAGCCTAATATCATACTGACTTAATCTAATAATCAGAATAAATGCTATAATGATCAGAGGCTACTTAAAGCTTTCAATGTTTTATATTAAACATTCATGGGCAATAAAGTTATTTATTTTATGAGAATGCAAATTTTGACAAATTCACCAACAGAACCATTGTCCTATAACATTTTCCTAAGAGCCATCAGAAATCCAATTCACTTTTTTTGAGCAAAACGTGCATACTTCTGTTACAAACAGAAAATTATTGCTTTTCTAAAGTTGATTATGGGAGCACACGTGTGTTTTATATACTAAGGTGGTATTCCTTCCTTCAAAATCTTCCCTTGGTTGCATTCTCACAAAAATATCCAAGAGTGTTCTGAAATTTGGGGCTTCAACCTGCATAATAAGGAACTGGGACTTAACAAAGAGAGAAAAGGAATCATAGATCAGAAACAAATTTAAGCAACATAAATTAACTTTTTATGGGGTAGGCTTTTTGAATGATTATCAAAATGTATTCCCTTAACCTAATAATTATTGATCTCAATTTATGTGCCTAATAATGCCTTTAAAATTTTTTTTTTACCATATTTATTTTATATCATGATTTCTTTGTCCTCGTGGACTCTAATTGGGGAAATAAATACTCCCTTCTCTTTTTTATTGTATGTGTATTAGTAGGGGTAGGAAGCACAGAATATGAGAGAATAGGCCAAGGGTGTAGAAACTAGAAAGATACAACTGAAGAGAGAGACAAAGTGAGTGTTTATATGAACTTTGTACCTAATAACGTCTTATTTAGACTTTTGAACAAAAGAAAAATGATAATAGATTTTTATTTCCTTCTCACTATCTCTTCTCCAATATCGAACAGGCTATATGGAAACCGGACAAACCAGATAAATTTCAAAAAAGGCATGTAGGGATGGGAGTGTGGAATCAGAGCTGGTTTATGGCAAAACTAAAATAAGTTGACTAATCTTGCAAAATGTTTTTTAAGACAATGAATGACTCAGGACAGAGAAACTACCACCTAGCTACTCAGTAGCATCATTTTCAAAAAAGCATTGTGTGTGTGAGCACACACAGACACACACACTCATTTTATAAAAAGAGCTTTAGAGATAAAATGGGGTGGAAACTTACTGAGAAGTCGTCAAAGATTTTCTTGAGTTCTTTGTGACCATGCCGTTCAGCAATATGTGCTGGATCTGAACCTTCCAAATTTTCCATCTGAGATGCCCAGGTGGCTCCTGAACATTGAAGCAAATGAATGGCCAAGTTCTTTAAGCCAAATTTTGCTGCACAGTGGAGAAGAGTTGGAAGTTCTTTGAAATGAGCATCTGTAAGCATAAGAATTAATAGAATTTAATATATTTTTTAAATTTTTTTTAAATTTTATTTTTTTAAAAATATTACAGATGTCCCCTTTTCTCCCCAATGACCCATTCCACCCCGTCCCATCCCCCTCCCCAGTCCCTCTCCCCACCATTGTCATGTCCTTGGATTGTACATATATGCGTATAAATTCTTTGGTTACTCTCTCCCCCTCCTCCACCCACCCGTAACTGCAATCTCACAAGAAAAAGTCAAACACAATCTGCTCCTAAAAGTAATTCCCACAAAGCAGAGCAGACTTTTAATGTGATTTTACATATAAAAAACCATCAGTGGTTTTAGCAATATAGAATCTCCCCCTTCTATTTCTCATCTTAAAATATATATAAACTAATATTCTCACTAGGATTAATGTTTAACTTTTACTTGTTGGTAAGTTTAATTTAGAAAGGCAGGTCAACCTCTTAAATGTAGCAAAAAAACCCATCATAGTGTAATAACTCCTTTTGACTGTACTTTGAAATTAGCCAACACTAAGTAACAAAATTAACTAAGTTCACCTATAAAACCTTTTTGTGTTTTCTACTGTCATGTCTAGTTTGCTTCCTTCTGAAGTTGAAATGAACATGAAATTCCTGGAGGGGTTATACTAGATTTCTATGTGAAATTTATTTTCCAAAAAGTAACTGCAACAGAAAATATAGGTAAACATTTTTATAAACATCTCCAGTTTGGAAATTTCCATTAGGATTTTATAGCTAATTACTTTTTAGGTATCAATTAGAAGACATGTATTAATTATGCATAACTATAAAGTGATAAATATTAATGACTGACCCAATGACAAAACACACACACACACACACTGATGATGGAAGTTTGCTATTATTCTACAGTTCCACACCTAAATGGAAAATATATGTTATAGAAATTGCACACTAGCTTCCTTTAATAGCTGTGGCATTGCTGGGAGCAAGCAAAGGGAAGACTTACAGCAACAGAAACAAAGGCCTCAAAGCAAAAGTCAATTCTCTTCCAGCAAAATTCTAAAGCAATGAAAACAGCCACCTTATAATGTTTTTGAAAATGGAATCTGCTCCCTTTTACCTCTTCACTATTTTGCAGACAGGCAAAAAAGGAAAAGAGAAGGAAATTAAACCTTGAGTTTTCAATTCACTTGGGTGTTTCAGGCCTGAATAAATTTAGTTTGTAGGTATATACGCTTTAACAGAAAACAAAGGAAACAAACCAAAGCCTTCCAGACACATTAAGAACTTACTGTAAGAAAATATTTTATCCTCCAAAATGTGTTGGAACTAAATGGCCATAGGTAAATCTATGGTCATATTTCAATAATAAATGCACTGATCCCTTCTTACATGATGTGCAATAGGTTAAAAATTATCAAATATTTTATGAAGATAAGCTTATGAAATCTGAAACTGAGGTAGGTATCAATTTTCAAAATAAAAAAATGTATTTTCTTAAAAAAGTCTTAAGATACAATTTTATATTTATTTGCATTAAAATACATTATAAAGTATAATTGTCTGATGTAATTAAATCAGCTAAATAAGGAAAAATATTTGCAGGATAATATCACATTTTACATGCCCCTCGTCATCTCTTTGCCATACCATAAAATATACAAAAACGTTATCAACTGACAATCAATGTTTTATGCATTGATCCTAAACATTGCTATTCTGGTGAATTTTTAAATCACTCTCAATGCAGCTTAAAATGTTTTTATGAAATAAGTATTTAATCGTTATAAGAACAGTTTCACCTTTAAATCTCACCAACCTCCGCAGCCAGTACATTCATCAAGATTAAGGTAATATTTTTTAGAAAACCAACATGCTTCTTTAAGAATCTCTCTACTTCTGTACATTAAAAACAGTAACAAGGACTATGACAAGTGGTCCTATTTCTTTCAGGGAACATCTCTTAATAGTCTTGATACCCTGAACCATGTTTTCTGACACACGAGAGGAAGTTCTCTTGATTTCAGATTGTACTGCTGACTATAGGCACCACAGGGGTGAAGGTCGGCTTCTTTATTTTTCATTTCTTTATTTGTAGTGGTAGCTTAAAACCCATTAACCCACTCCAATGTTTTGTGAAGTTATAGACATAAAAGAGGTTTGGAGGACATCTCTCCAGTTTCCTACCTAGGGCTAGAATTGAGTTCCTAGATGGTCTTCTAGGCACTGCTTGCAGACCTCTAAGGACAGTATTCTTTCCTTCCTAAGGCAGCCTCGTTCATTACTTCTGTTGAGGTGAAATGTATTTCCTCTAAATTCCCATATCTTCATATCCTTTGGGCAATACAGAATGAAAGCTACAAAAGCGCGGGCTTAGACTCAGTAGGCTCTGCCATTTGTTCACTACGTGAACTCGAGCAAGTTACTAGTTGTCTGAGCCCAGCCTTCGCATCCAGGTTTGCAGGGCTCCTGAGATAATTAAACGACTTAACATAAGTGCCCAGGAAGGTGTCTGGAACATAACATTCAATCAGTGTTGGTTTCTTTCCCTTTCTCTCTCTGCATCATATAGTTTAAAGCACCCTTGTCCTAAATCATCTTTGTCCCAACCTTGTGATCCCTAATTCTTTTCATTACCCTAAAATACTTACCATCCTGAGATTGGCCCATAATAGTCGTCCCTTTATAAAATGAATGTGTGAACCTGCCCAAATGATCATTAACAGCAGTCCTTTTCATTGCCCTAAATGGGATTATTTTGCCTGCTTATTTTCATTAAGTAAGAAATGCTCAGCCTGCTGATGTACATGGTCAATAACTAAAATGCTTCTAATTTAAGGGTTTTTTAAGAATTAAAATATGACAGAATTGACCTTTCACAAAATTTGAAATGATTCACAGAAGCTATATTAGTAATTTTAATGTTAATTAATTCATGATCTCTATAGCATTATTTTTGCAGAACATCAAATTAAATATACTCAGTATGTGCATATAATATTATATTAATACATGTATGAAATTCATATATATAAAGGTACTCATATCCACAAAGTGTGATTAATACTAATAACTGGCTTGGGTTTTTAAGACTTATACATTTTATAAAATCACACTTTTTATATTTTCACCTTGATTTGATTATTATGAGAATTTGAGACATCAGTGGGTCCCTCTGTATTTGGAACAGGTATACTCGTAAATAGCATAAAGTAAGGAAGTCCTTTAAAAAAAGCTTGCTGGGGAGGTTAACCCCTCTCCTGGGCACTCATTCAGTGTCAGAGAATGAGTGTGGATCAAATAAGGTGCCTGTGGCTCAGGGGAGTATTACCTGCTGTCCCCTGCTGTTCTTCAGTCTTAATTTAAATCTAGAGTACATGATTGCTAGTGTTTTTAAAGATATTTATCATTTTATTGAATTAAAAAATTAGTTATTTTACAAACAGTTTATAATCTTACTTATCTGATTAAAATAATAGATTCCTGAAGAAGATGTAAAACACCTTTTAAAATATGCTTAATCTGCAGTGTACCTCTGCTTCAATTTATGGCAATTTTCATTTAATTAATCAAGATTCATTATCAACTCTTTTTATTACCAAAGTGTAAATAAAGAAGCCATCGTTCACACTAAGGTCTGGACAATTTGCTTTTGACTTTTTTTTTCGGGACAAAATAAAGTTTCAGTTTTTAGTTGTTCAGCCAACATCTGTCAAATGGGAATTTAAGGAGAACAGAATTAAATATCTGCAAGATAGTTTTCAAGGAAAATCCCATTTCAATAGTTTTTCAAATGAAAATAAATAGAAGAGTTGGCACATAGTCAAGAAACTGAGTCACATATTTGTTTGTGCTGAGCCATTTCTAACAGTTGAAGGTGATCCCTCTCAAAGATGGGCAATGATTGGATTAAAGTAATCAAACCAAAGCTTTCAAGAGATTAACCTGGTTCACCAGAATGATAAAGTGGGAATATATGCAAGGTTAGAATATCAGCTTTAAAAATTTAAAACTAAGATGAGTATGCAAACTGGAAGTACATGAGACCATGTAATCCTTTTGTTTTCAAAAATCATTACCTGGAATCGTAAATATTTAATCACTCAAAATAGGATGACCAGGTGGCCACTTTAAGACAAAGCAATGAAGCACACAGCAAAGAGAAGATAAAGAGTCAGGATATACGAATTCTAACACCAGCCACGAAATTTGTGGTACTTATGAAAGTTCCTTCATCTCCCTGGAGCTCAGTGTATTTGTTTATAAAGCCGAGGGTTGGCTTCAGAATTCTAGGACTTCTGACATCCTTCTGAGCTAGAAACCATGCCACTGATGGTTTTAAGGTAATTTTCCCTGGGTGCTAATCAGATAGCAATTAAAGGAGTAAAGACCATAGTATTTGGGAAGGTTGAAGAAAGGTAATAATTTTTAGTCATTTCATCATAGGATTTGGGGTCTGATGAAAATTTAGTTTTTCTGTGGATCTGTAAAACAGAATATTGCTGCTTTTATAAGTCTGATTGCTCTCAGACAGGAGGCACATGTATGCAGACATATACAATAATCACATTTAGAATTTCAAACAACAAAACATACTGCCAAGGTTATCATATTTTTAAAACCTTGATAATATAAATTACATGAACAAGGGAAATAATGGTCCATCAAAGCCCTTTGCTGCCATTTTGTTATCTCTCATATTACATAAAATATACAAGTGGGAAGTTCATAGATATACACATTAGTATTAACCTCAATTTTGTATTCACCTCATTAATTTTAGCACTTGCATTCTTGTTACTGAAACATTCTCTTAAATATTTAAGAAAAAAAAATTAAAGCTTGTATCTATTTTGTATGTCCCTTGCTAATTTTCTCAAGAAACTTTATACCAGATATTCTTTTCTCAAATGTTTTAGTTAGTTAAATTTCCAATCAGCATTATACTCAAATGAATCCTGATTTCATCTTAATAAAATGAAAACTAATGCCTTTTATTATTTTAAACCCTAAAATTT